AGGGCTGCCAGTTTGCAGGGTAAATACAAGAATTCCATTAGTTGCTATCAAAAGAAAAAAACCTTGTAATATAAAAAAAGACATCAGACAACTGGATTGTCATAACGTGATATTTTGCATCTACAAGATCTATCATTAAAATAGTGCAGGACTAAGTGGTTTTACATGTGAGTTCTAAATTTTCGAAGACTAGACAACTCCTGTGCTATTTAAATAATTCAGAGTATCTGAAAAGATGGAGAGCTCCCTTTCATAAAGCTACACTAAGTCTAAAGCCATAACCTACTTTAAAATGATACAGAACAATTGAAATCCACTTTTACTTATGAATATAGGTAAGCAATTTTCAAAAAAATAGTAAATCAAATCTAGTAATATATTAAAGGACCAATATGACCAAATACGGTTTGATCCAGGAATTCAAGAATAGTTCAAACACTGGAAAAGCATAATTTAATAGTTTTAAGAAATTGAAGGAGAATAAAAACATGGTTCTATGTTAAAAATTTCAACTGGCCATTCTTAACTTTTTTAAAGACAGAGTGAATCTTCCAAACATGTTGAAAGTTATTTCCCAGGAATGACTAGTAAAATTTGAAATACACACGGACGCATTATCAGGAAAGCTGAGAAAAGAGGAATCCCTTGTGCTACCGCTAGTCAGCAGTGAGGGTGCTGGTCTGTTATAGATAATACTATGAGGTAAGAAAAATAAATATTAAGTCTAAACATGATTATTACTTGCAGTTGATAAAATTTTCATATCTAGATAAAAGATTAAAATAAAAACTTGTTGAAAGTAAAAAGCAAATTTCTGGAAGTTTGTGGCATATACAATACACAGAAATCAATAGCTTTAAAAAAAAACAATACTGGCATCAATCTGATAGAAATGGGAGGAGATGCTTTTTTTGAAGTGACTAAACCCACCCCATAGAAAAGGCCAAACGTAAACATAGCAGGAAAATGCAAGCCATGCTAATAACCGGAGAACATTTAGAACGACATAAAGTATGACCTCAGTGAACGGAGAGACAGGCCAGAGGCTGCCAGTGCTAAGATGTAAAAGCACAGATTCTTCTCTAATTAATAGACAGATTAAAAGTAATTTTTAAAATGTTTTTTTTTTTTTTTAATTTTTTTTTTTAGAGAGGAAGGGAGAGAGAAAAACATCGATGTGAGCGAGAAACATCCATCAGCTGCCTCCTGCAGGCCCCGACTGGGGATCTAGCCCGCAACCCGGGCCTGTGCCCTGACCCGGAGTTGAACTGGGACCTCTCAGTCCATGGGGCAACTCTCAGTCCACTGAGCCACACCAGCCAGGTGAAAAGTAATTTTTATTACAATTCCATTCACACTTTTCAGTTCATTGAAGTGATCCTACAGAGTAAGTGTAGATTTGCCAAGGGAACCTTGAGCAGGAAGGGCCTCTCTTCACCATTCTTTATCACACGCTCACTGCTGTCTCCCAAAATGCCTCTAAAGGAAAAGTAAGGAACTCAAACAGGGATAACCTCATCACAACGTAGAGGATGGGGAAATAGGAGTCGGAAATACATGGAAAGTTCCACATGCTTCTGGAGGCCAGAGGAGGAGAACACAGGGCAGAGGAAGCCCGGCCAGCACCTGCGAGGCGTGGGAGCCCCCTGTGAGGCCACACAGCCCCCTGGCCTCAGCGAGGTGGAAATAGGGCCATTTCGGGAGTCCGTGTAAAAACCAGCTCTGCCATCTGACCCATCTTCTGCTCGTCTCCGGTTTCCACGTGCAGAAGACCACGTCGCCTGTATGTGTCCCCAAAATGATGCCAGGGCTCTTCTCTAAAGAAGTTGAAGCAGAGAGGAAACCACTGTCCCAGAGGAAAGCATCCTGAGTTTTCTGAGGAGGGGGTGGTGGAAGTGATCGCAAGACTGCCCTAAGGGAAGCTTTCCCAAATCCACGCCCACAGCGTGGGGCTGGCTGCCACCCTCTCCACAAGTCATCTCCTCCAGCCCCTTGCTCTCCCCGCTGTCCGTACTTGGAGGATTTCCAAATGCGTGTCTTTAGCCATGACCTGTCCCCTGAACTCCATGCGCACATATCCATCCACCAGCTACGATACCGCCATGAGAAAACCTACGCAGTGGTCCAGGCCGTGAGCGATGAGCTGACGGTCACCTTGCTGTCCTCTGGCCTCAGCGTCTAGACTGTTGTCCTGGCACGTTCCCTCCAGGCATGTGCTGTGTCCTTGCTCAGGCAGGTCTCATGGGCCACAGTAGGTTTGGATTGTCTTCTGCAGGCAGCGAGAAGTCACTGGAGGTTTTGAGCAGGAGAGTGATAGGATCTGATTAAAGTTTTTATTTATTTATTTATTTATTTTTGTATGTGCCCCTAGCAGGAACTGAACCTGGGACTTTCTGGTCCACAGGCCGATGCTCCAACCACTGAGCCAAACCGGCCAGGGCTGATTAAAGTTTTTAAGATAATCACTGGGGCTCCTGTGTGGAAGACTGAGTGTAAGGGCGCAAGTGGAACCTTGGCTATGTGTTGGATGGCTGTCTCCTCTCCACCTCCTCTCGTCCAGTGGCAACAGACTTCACCTGAAAGTCCAAGGTGGAAAGACAGAAAAAGGGCAGAAAGGGACCCATGATCAGACCAAAGCTTTTACACAAACCCAGCATCTTAACAGTCAGTGTTGACTTAAATGTACTCTCTCTGGTTCCTGCAACCTGCCGCTCCAGGAGAATTGTTTAAGCCTCCTCCTGTGTCGACTGGTTATGATTTTTTAAATGAGCTGTGTTATCCCGTTCCCAAGTCACAGGCCAGGACAGTGGAAGTTCGTATGACAGTCAGGACAGTGCAGGAAGGCCCGAAGTCAAGGCTGGTTTGCCCTGCATGGCTCTCAACCTGTTTTAGGATTTTTTTTAAACCCTATTACTTTGGTCTGTGATTTATAGACTATTGACTAAATCAGTAATGGCAGTGGCAAGCTTTCTTCCCTCTAAGTTTCTACATGTAGTGATGATATGTGCCTGGGGGTCAATGAGGCTGCAGAGTATCTTCCCCAGGAAAAGCAGGCATGCCAGGGCTGTGGGCCACAGCATTTCCTTGGGTGATGCCATCTGGAACTGCTACCATTCATCAGCTTAATGATACTTTCTGCTGCCTCTTCAGCTGATTTGGGCAAGAGGGATTGATACATTAAAATGCAGAGGAATAAGGATTGATGGCCTAATGTGAATTCCTGTTAAAGATACAGAAGAGGGTCTTTTCTCAGGTGCTTTTGGATAGCACAAAAGGGTAGAAAATATTGTGTTATTTTTTTCTTGGTTAATATATTCTCTTCTCTGAGACAAAATATTGCCGTATAATTTTTGGCAAAACACTGCACCAGGCAATATTTTAAAAATGGAATATAAAGGAGAAAGATTTTGAAATGCAGTATATTATGTAGGTTCAATAAAAGGAAGTAAACACAGTGCAAATGTGATTTTAAATGGTTTCAAGACAGTTTTTAAAATTCAAGTATAAGTTTATTTTGAGATATTTCCAAGTTGGATGTGTATATATGTGTGTGTTTATTGTCTTATCTCTCCCACAAAACATTGGATTTGGCTAATAAGAATGTTTACAATAAAGTTAGGATTGACATAAAAACACAAGCTGCCAAATGGACATACTCACATTAAAAAAGATTCACTGTTACCCCGGCCGGTTTGGCTCAGCAGTTAGAGCGTCGGCCCGCAGACCAGAGAGTCCCAGGTTCGGTTCCCGCTAGGGGAGCGTACCTCGGTCGCAGTTTGTTCCCAGCCCCATGGGGTTATGTGGGTGGCAGCCAGCCGATGTGTCTCTCTCACATCGATGTTTCTCTCTCTCTTTCTCCTTCTCTTCTTCCTGCTGTATCTGAAGATAAATGCAAAAATGTCCCCAGGTGAGAATTAAAAAAAAAAAAAAAGATTTATTGTTTATCTGGAATTCAAACTTAATTGGATGTTTCTTCCCTCCCCCACCCCCCCAAGTCTGGCAATCCTATAAAAAATGAAAAAACATGAGTAAATCAATGATGATAGGCTAGGGTGAGGTTTCAGCACAAATAAGACGTCTAACACGTGGAAGTTGGGCCACGGTTTTGGCCTCGAGAGTCCTGGCTGCTGGACAGAAATGGACACACAGTCACTTACAAGACGTACATCACCCGGGAAGCTGGCGTGCAGAGGAGATATTTACTTGTGGCAAGAAACCTGTTATAGTTTTGGGATCTGACTGAATACTTTTTCCTCGTTTCCATTAAAGGGACCCTTTGAGGTTGGGCTGCTGGTGGTAGTGTCTACTTTTTCTTGGGCATTTTATGAAGTAGATGGTCTTTCAAAGAGAAGTTTTTAAATTTAGATGAAGTCCATTTTCCCTTGTGCACATGGTACTTTTACAGTTACAGCTAAGAAGTATTTCTCTCACCCAAGGTCAAAAAGATTTTGCCTACATTTTCTCTGAGAAGTTTTAGCTTTTATATTTAGGTCTATCAACCAGTTTTTAAAAGAACCATTTAATACGTACAGAAACAATGCTTCTCTCCTGCTTGTTTAGTCAAGAATGATTCGGACACAGACAAGTTCCAAGTGTTCTTCAATGTCTTCCAGGAAGTGAATTTTTCTAAACAAGTTAATAGTAAGCAAGACTATAAGGAACACGGCTCAGAAAAGTCATACTGTCTGCACACGCACTCCCACCTGTGTGAATTTATGCATTGAATATATATATTAAAACCCATATATATGGTCCTCCACTTGTGACAGGCCTTTACTATTGAGAAAGGACTGCAGGACTTTCTTTGGACTTTGTGCTGTTATCTGCCTTTGAGTCACAGTATGCATTTTGAAAAAGATCCATTCAAAAAAAAATTCAATTGGTCGAACTTTGTGCTCAGACTGATGTTTTCTCCATTAAGGCAAATTTTGCTGCTGTTCTTGAGGGGTACCAACACCATCTTTGATGGAGCTTAAGTAGTTCTGTTTGTTCATTTTCAGCTTCGTACCGAGGATCCTGAAATTTTTGAAGTTTCATCCAAGTGTCTGTCTATACTGGTTCAGCTCTACGGAGGAGAAAACCCAGACAGCCTGTCTCCTGAAAATGCAGAGAACTTTGCCGACTTGCTGACGTCCAAGGAGGACCCGAAGGAGCAGAAACTTCTGCTGAGGATTCTCAGGAGAATGGTGAGTCCACACAGACACTGCGCTGGGGTGGGGGGGTGGCCTTAGTGGCACCTAGAGGGCAGGGAGCCGTCGTTGTCTTCAACCTCGTTTCAGTAAAATAACTCCCAGGCACCTTTCCCCAAGGTCACCTTTGCCCATGGTCATCTGTAGTCACCATGTATCAGATTCTGCCTATCATATCTTTTCTAAGAGTCAGAGAACGTGGCGCCTCTTCACCCCTTAATACATAAGTGTGTGTTTCCTAATAAGAGCAGTGTTATTTTTACGTAACTACTATAATCAAAATCAGGAAACTTAACTTGATACAATTATTTTACTCACCTGCCGTCCATATTCCAGTTCTATCAACTGTGCCAATAATGTGCCGTATAGGTTTTTCATTCTGGTATAGGATCCAGGCCAGGATCACGTATTTTAGTAGATACGTGTCTTTAATCTGGAATAGCACTGTGATCTTTTTTCTTTTATCACATTTGTGAAGAACATAGGCTGGGTATTTTGTAGAAGCGCCGTCAGTTTGTGTCTCTCTGATGTCAGCAGACTCAGGAAAGCTCCAGAAGGGATACTTTCTCAGTTCGTCACATCTGGACACTCAGTGTCTGTTTGCCCCTTAATGGTGATGTTTAGTAACGTCATTAAATCATTGTATACTTACTATTGTTAAACTGGTAGAAGTTGCAAAGTGGAGGTTTTCTAACTCGCAGTGCTCTCCTGTGTGGAACAACGTCCCCGTTGTCCCGCTTACTGTACTTTTAGGAAAGATGTATAGCTGATGTGAGTTTGAAGGTGCTTCAGAAGGCTGATTTATTTTCTCTTCACTGTAAATCTTATTCTGCTGGTGTTGGGGGCCATTCTTTGCAGTAGCTGTCGTCGAAGTTAATAAAGGAGGGGCCTGGCCCATGTCCGGGTCTGTCCTTTGGCAGGTGGAGCTGTGGAGGAGCCGGGGGCTCTATGCAGGAGAACTTTGTGCCAATTGGATAGGTGGCAGCGCATGACCCAGCAGCATCTACATGGTGGGGTGTGAGGGACAGAGCTGGAAGTGAGATAAGAGATTTATTCTCCTCGCTGCTCAGCCAGGTCTGTATGTGTCCTGTGTCCCCCCCATACCCCCGCCAATGACACTTGCCGTCTTGGCCGAGTCATCACCTGAGTGACAGAATGATGATGTGATCTAGGTGAGTCTCTCCAAGTGTAGGAGAAATCCTGGGGACAGTAGACAGGAGATGGTACACCAACCTAGCCCTAGATGACGCTGAATCCCATAGCCAGGCAGGTATTTCCCTTCAGTTCCCTTGGTCTTTCTGATGATTTCAGGTGTCTCACTTCGGTCCTCCTGTGTCTCAAACACCTCTGGAATCTTCAGAATCTCCTATTTAACGGAGGGCAGACCTTTCAGAAACTCAGCTTTTACAGCAGAGAGAAGACATTTAACATCATGATTTTCTTTAAATAAAAAGGCGAGTCAACGTGAAGACAAGTACCAGGAAATAAATAAAATGTGTTATGTGTGGATGCGGCAAAAATATGCATTTGGAGGAGAATGACAAAGCTTGGGAAACGATTGAATATCTGATGTGATCGATTTTCTAGCGACCCACCACCTCTCTCTGAAACGTGTAGAACCTGACTGGTTTCGGAACCCATGATTTCGGACCTTCTCAGCGTGGCACTTGCACACACGTGATGCGACCCCAGGCAGGTAGCGACCCGGGGCAGTGCGGTCGTCAAGCACGGGATGTTTCTGCAGCAGAACGTGGATGTCCACGGCAAGTGGCAGTTACAGACTCTCCGTGGGGCGGCTCAGGTCAGGCTTTGCCCCCACAGACGTGTTTGATTCAGACTTACGGAAACTAGTGTGAATTGCAGATAGGAGATTATGGACCTGTCTTTGGCAATAAATCACATCATTTCCTAAAACACTGGTCACATTAGTCATGCAGCAAACCAATTAGACCCCAGCTTGGTCAGTAACCAGACCACAGTGTCTTGTAGTTTATTTTCCTGCCTGAAGTGATTTCCGTGTCATTTCTGACCTGCCGCATATAGGACCAAGTAGATGTTTGTGGGAGAAAAATAGAATCTAAGTGACTCTTTACTTGTTTATGAGAAAACAAGTAGTTTCTGGTGCTACTTATCTTTTTTTTTTTTAATTGTGGTAAAATACATATGAGATTTACCATTTTAACTGTTTTTAACTGTACAGTCAGTGGCATTAAGCACAACCACTACCACCACCACCCATCCACAGACTTTTTCATCCCAAGTGAAACGTGCTCCTTTAAACAATAACTGCCCCTCCCCTCCCCCCAGCCTTGGCAACCACCATTCACTGTCTCCTCCTGAATGTGACTCCTCTAGGTACTCCATGTAAATACAGTCATACAGTGTTTGTCCTTTGTTGACTGGCTTATTTCACTTAACATGACGGGCAAGGCCCCTCCGTGCTGTGGCATGCGTCTCTCTCCTTGTTAGGGCCGAATGGTATTCCATGGTGTGTACACACCACATTTTGTTTCTCTGCTCATCTGTTCATCAACAGATGGACTTAGGGGTTGTTTTCACCTGTTCTGCCCCATTCATTTTTTCTTTGATTTCTTTCTTATTATTGGGATCAACTTGGATTTTTCTTTTATTCAGTGGGTTTGCTCTACTGCTGTCTTGTATTTGGCCGGTGGGGCCCCTGCTGAATGCCTGCTCTGCCTTTGGACACGGCCCGTCATTTATTTCTGAGCACCTCCCATCTTAACGTGATGCTCTAGGATCATCTCACACCATTTCTCTGTACGAACCTGGCACCAGCCGTCCCTCCAGGGAGTCATGGAACATTTTTGTATTTAGAAAGCAAGATACAAAAAGTTCTGAGTTGAAATTACGACCACTGTTTTCTTAACAAGAAAAACGGGCTGGAAAGTCCGAGGAGTCAAATATGCTGGTTCTCAGTCTCGTTGCGCACAGCCCCGAAGTCACTGAAGCCCCGGCTGTCTCTCGTTTAGCAGCTCAAAAGTGCCCATCGCGTGTGCAGACAAGACATCGGTGCTAAGTGCCTTAGAGCTTTCTAAATTACCCCTGGGTCAGTCACTGTTTGGTTCAAGTTGTGCAAATCACAGTATCAGGGATTCCAGGGCCTAATCGGCTCAGCTGGAGCCTTGAACTTGCCTTTCTTGAAGCTCAGTTCTGCTTAAACTTAGGACTGAGTTTAGTGCATTTGGATTGAAATCGCAGCAGAGAGCTGTATGACATCAGCACCCTCTCCCTGATGGGTGTACCCTCCTTCGCTCTGTGCTGCTGCCACTGTCTGTTCTCCCCTTCACGTGACTCTGGTTCAGGAAGTGGGCAAGGACGCGATGTTGGTGCTGAATGGAGAAGGACCTGTCTGTGCAAAGGCCCCGAAACCCAGGGGCTAGGCCAGGAGACAGCAGAAACGGGCTGTGAACGGCCAGGAGGTTCCAAACGTGGGTTTTCACAGCATTTGGAGTTGGGACTCTGGTTGGAATTAGGAAATTCGGGTCTCTGAAACGGGGTGGCAGCCTTTCAGCTGGATTTCAGTAGTCTTTGCCGTGAAATAAAGCTTTATCTTCGTGACTGGCACGGAACAGGTATTTAGTGAGTGCCCACCGAGCTGTGCAAGAAATGTCTGAAACCTCTGCGTTTGTTGTTGGCACCTTGCTCCTTTGGGATCTTCAGTGTATCTGTGAGCTCTTTTAGTGCTTTACAGATGCGTGGTCAGACTGACGGGATCTTCAAAGACATGTGGTGTCCATGGTTCAGTCTTCTCCACCGTGGCCCCATCAAGTTTCTGACGAGTGATGAGATCAGATAGGCAGACGCACAGGGGACAGGAGCCTGAGAGATGCAAGAACACGAGCTCATTGCCTGTGACTTTAAGGAGGCTGGCCGCTTAGGCTTGCTCCCTGGATGGAGGAACCGAATGTGATGGAGAAGCAGGGACCGGTCTGGGTCTACTACCTGTGTCAGTCATTGCATGAAGGAGGCCTGGTAAGGGCAGCCCCCGGTGGTGAGAAGTTACGGAGGGAAAAACAATCTCCCTGGATCCACCTGACAGGACATCCCGAAGTGCACCCTCTCCGGAGCACAGCTGGGAAGAGACTGCTGCTCGAAGTGTCCCCTGTCCCTGAAGCCGACTGCTGGTGGTTTTGGAGAGGGCGACTCTGAGGTACACTTGGCCGTGTGGATTCTCAGGCCGGGTGGTGCGTGTCAGTGACTCGGGAACTGGTTTCGAGGTGCCGTCGTGGGGAATAATATGGCAGATTCCTCCTTGTGAGCCACACAAAAGGCCCTGGCTTCTTGAAATACCTGTTTAAAGTTCCGATTTTGTGACATTTTCTTTCCATAACTGCAGTTTTCACTAACAGATGAAAGAAACAGGATGTTTGGTTTGTGCTAACTCTTCCCCGGCCCCTTCCTGAAATTCTTCTGTCAAATAAGATCCACTCCCTGCCTCCTTCACAAGCCTTCTAGTTCAGATTCCCACTGCCACTGACGACACTGGGCCCGCTTTTGTATTACAGAACGTTTCAAAAACACAGGTGGAAAGAGTAGGATGGTGAACACCTACCTGAGTAACCAAGAATAATCAGAATTGTTACCGTTTTGCCATACTTTTCAAGTGTCTATATAGTTTATTCACGCAAAATGTTGTCACCTTGATATTTTTTATTTCTATCTGTGTGGGGTTTATTTATTTATTTTTGTTTTGTTTATTGAATTTACTGGGGTGGCACTGGTTAATAAAAGTGCATAGGTTTCAAGTATCTGAGCATTTTTAAAAACCATGTGAAAGTAAAGGCAGTGTGGCACTTGGCCCCGAACTCTGATGACATCACACCCAAGGAAATTAATGATAATTTCATATCATTAATCTCCAGTTCATACGTAATTTCTCTAATTGTCAAAAAATGACTGGCTTTTTTTAAAAGCCTAATTCCAGTCTGAATTGCACTGTTGTTGTCTTAGACTCTTTTAAGCCAGAAGAGTCTCCC